CTCCCCCGCCCCACAGCGCGCGGTTATTCATTAGTTGTGTGGGTTATTAGTAGTTATAGCACGGTTAAGGGGGGTGCGGCGCGGCACCGCGATGTCAAATGTCACCCCCACATGGGGAGCACGGGGACCCCAAACCCGCCCCATTCTCATCCCTCCCACGCCGGCAGGGTGGAACATCCCGTTCTGCATCCCTCACACTCATCCAACACCCCCCGGCCTTCAGATAAACGCATCGATCCTGAAAAACAAACAATATTCAAAAAAGGGCAATTTTGAGTACCTGGTTCTCGGAGCCTCGGGTGGATCCTGCCCGGCTCAGCCAGGGTTATCCCGGTCCTCGATCCGAGCAGGGTCAGACCTCGAAGCCCCAGCAGAGATTAGACACTGGCGGAGGAGGAGGAGGCGGCGGGGGCAGAATTAATCCCTCCTCGCCCTCGCCGTAAATCCAGCCTGGCCTCCAGCACTGCAGGATCCCGGCAGCAAGGAGGCTTTGGGGATCGACCTGGCTTGATCCCACCGGGACCCCACCTCTCCCTGACAGCATCCTCAGCCTCTGCTGCACCCCACGCTCCCAGCTCAGCAGCTTTGGGGCAACTCACCTCGCTCTCCCTCTGTCTGAAGGCTGAGAGTGGGGAGAGTGCATTGGTGACCCACTGGTGACCTGCTCCCCTTCCTCACTCCACATCTCAGGGCTCAAAGGTGATGCCAACTTCCAGATGGGCACCGACCCTCACTTCTTTCAAGGCTTCTGGGAACCTCTGCAGGGAAAGCAACGGCTCTGGCGGTGCTCACCCCTCATTAAAAACAATTTAGCAATTCCTCCAACAGTGACCCCAGGAGAAAGCCCTGATGGGAAAATCCACAGAGAAGAGCTGGGCACCTCCCCAAGCTGCCCCAGAGAAGGAGAAGGATGTGTGGAAAGCTCTGTACGTGTTTGTTTGATTTTATTAGGACCGACACATTCATCGTATGTCACAACGTCACCGATGGATGAGCTCCAGGAAATAAAACCCAGCGGCCCC